AGACATCCATCCCCTGCCCAAACCCCCTCTAACATCACTGAGGCATGGTGCATTCTAAACCTCCTCTACTGCACCCCTACATACTAACATGGTACATTCCATCAATCACCCCCCCCCATATAGTGACATAGAACAATCCATCAACCACTGTCCCCTCCCCCAATACTGACATGGTACATTCTATCCATCTCCTCCACATACTAATATGGTAAAATCCATTTATCCCCCACATACTGGCATTGTATATTTCATCAACCCCCCCCCCCCCAACATACTGACATGGTGCATGCTATCCATCAACCCCCCCTCCATATACTAACATAGTACATGCCATCTATCAATCCCCCCTCCATATACTAACATAGTACATTCCACTTATTACCCCTCCCCCACATATGCACATACTAACATGGTGCATTCCATGCCGAACAGCGGAAGGGGTGATGGTGACACTATGTTTCACCGCACCCAAGAACAGCTTAGAGAGGAGACTACAGCAGACTGGCTGCGATGATAGATGGAGTCTGCAAAGCCAAGGGTGACTGCAAGGGTATTTTTTGTTGTTGTACGTGGAGTTGTTATTAAAGCGTATTTCAAGCCAAGAACATTGTGAGGGGAAATCTGCAACATGGACACAGAAAGAATAAAAATTATAGCTTTCCCTTACTCTACTATGAAAAAAAAAATCTTTTTTTATTTCTGCCTGTGGTGCTGTTGGAATATCTCAAACAGAATCTTGCATAGCAGTAAAACCTTGACCCACTCTATGGAACACTAGAAAAAACATTTTGGCTGGGCATATGCCATAACTTTTAATTTGCAGTATAATTGACAGATTTATTTTTAAATGCTTTTATCACAATCTTTCTTTAACTGCTGCAACTTTTCCTAACAACACAAGGTAATGTATAAGGAAATCAATTGGGTTTTGATTGATTTATTTTTAAATAACAAATGTATATACTTATGTTTTACACTTTATTTTAAATGATCTCTATAAAATATTTATTTACAAAAGATTTATTAGGGATAAATCATGCCAGTGGTTGCGTTATACCGCAGTCACTGGTGTGGCTCTGTGAAGGGAGCAGTGCTGATGCACTGTAAATGGCACTGTTCAATTTTTTCTTTTTTCCAACTTAATTGAAATGTCATACATCTGTATTCACCACAGCCCATAAGCTCTATTGCCTTTTCTGTACACTGGGACTGCATTAGGCCTGCATTGGGCAAGGCAGTTCAATACAAATAGTGTTAACAGTCCCTGACAGGGAGCTTCCTAAAACTCTGTGTTTATAACTGTGGCAGCTGTTGCACACTAAACATTAAGAAGACATCAACCAGGGATGGCTATGACTCAGGTGTCAATCTTACTCCATAGTAGCAATAGCGGTCTGATTATGTCCATATTTCTGTGCTCAAAGCGGTACATTTTTTTGCATGGAAATATGTATTTTTTTAATTATAGGCCTGTAATTCTTAGGAATAACTCACTGAAATCTGTCCGAACAAGAGTCTAGTAAACATCCTGGGTATGTTAAAATTTGAAACACGAAAACATAAATTACAATATAATAAATAATCATAAAAAATAAAATAATAATAAATTTAATTAAATAATATAATCAAACCAAAAACACTGAAATTTGAAATATAGCGCCAGGTTCGCACATCACTGAGCAAAGTCGCAAAATCGTTTTCAGTGTCTGATGACAAATTTCCCCACGAATCATTATCACTAAATTCTGCAAGTAGTTCTGATTTACTATCGCTGTTCTCTAGCGGATCTAAACCCGCTTTTGACCTAAAGGGACGCTTTTTGGACGCCATGGACTTTTCTCAGTTTTCAGGCAAAAAGAACATTGAAAATGTAGGCAGGGCACAGGACAAAGCACTATGGACAAAATGTATGTGAAATGCTTTGATATAGTAATGTTTTATTATGTAATTTTAGTGAATTTAGTGAATGTCACTTGTACAACTTTCAAATTTCCCGCCGGTTCCGGCCACCCGTACGTCCTGAGGTCGCAGGGGACGGAACCCGGAAGAGAGATGTCAGCATCCGCCGGAGGACATTGCAGGAGGGACATCACGGGAGCACAGGACAAGGTAAGTGAGGAAGAGATCCCGGAGCAGCGCTGCATGGTATTCCCGAGTGTAGCGCGGGGTTACTGCTTGTGGTGCTGAAAAAACTTTACCCCGAGCTACACTCAGGAATACCGCCAGGGAGGTTAAATAAGGACCTTTAGAAGGCCTAAAACCTGCATAGAGCACCACATGATGGCAGGAAGCCGTAAATATGAAATAATCATATGAGAAATTTATATTAGACTGGGTTGAAATGCATTTTTTTATTTTCATTTCAGGACAGAACATAAAAAAAGACTAGGTACAGTACACGTCAACATACACTAACCGGTCACTTTATTAGGTACACCTTGCTAGTACTGGGTTGGACCCACTTTTGACTTAAGAACTGTCTCAATTCTTCATTGCATAGATTCAACAATGTGTTGGAAACGTTCCTCAGATATTGTGGTCCATATTGACATTATAGTATCACGCAGTTGCTGCAGATTTGTCTGCTGTACATCCATCAACAGTTGATACAAGGCATAATTGATCCATGCTTTCATGTTGTTCATGCCAAATTCTGACCCTTCCATCTGAATGTTGCAGCTGAAATCAAGATTCATCAGACCAGGAAACATTTGTCAATCATCTATTGTCCTATTTTGGTGAGCCTGTATGAATTGTAGCCTCCGTTCATCAACTTCAAGGTTTGACATGTTGTGCATTCAGAGATGGTATTCTGCACACCTTGGTTGTAACGAGTGGTTACTTAAGTTACTCTTGCCTTTCTATCATCCTGAACCAGTCTTCCCATTTTCCTCTGACATGAACAGGCATTTTCATCCACACAACTGACCCTCACTGGATATATATTTTTTTTTTCGGACCATTCTCTGTAAACCCTAGAGATGGTTGTGCATGAAAATCCCAGTAGATCAGCAGTTTTTTGAAACACTCAGACCAGCCCATCTGGCACTAACAACCATGCCATGTTCAACTTCACTTAAATCCCCTTTCTTCCCCATTCTGATGCTCGGTTTGAACTTCAGCAAGTCATCTTCACCACGTCTAGATGCCTAAATGAATTGAGTTGCTGCCATGTGATTGGCTGATTAGCAATTTGTGTTACCAAGAAATTGAACAGGTGTACCTAATAAAGTGGCCAGTGAGTATATATAAAGCCTTATGCATGCATTTAACTAATAGTTTTATCACTGAAAGACCTTTCTTCTCTGTGATGCTCTCAAAAAGATGCACCAGCATACATTGGGAGTGTGAGGGAACATAAAGCCTTGAAGCCTTAGGCCCCATGCACACTGGACATTTTTGACAGTTCTTATAGCGGCGTCTGGTGGATTTTTTTCTGTCTCCAAATGCACCTGGATGTTGTCCATGCACATATAGGTGTTTAGAGGCAGAAAAAAACCCCACTGCCAGTGGGTCCAGGAGCAGCAGAGTTTTTGCAGAAAAAAAGGCTTGACATTTGTAAACGTGTCTAGACGTGTGATTAAATGCATGTTAACGCTATGCATGTTTAGAGCTTGAACATTAATTCATTATGGCCAGAATAGATTATTATTCTGGACAATTAAATGAATTAACTTGCAAGTGCTTGACATGCTAAACATGTTACACATGTATAGAAGCACCAAACGGTTCTTCTGGCAACAACATTGCCAAGAGGAAAGGTGTCTAGGAGAGTTAGCAAAAATATTCAGTGTGCGTGAGGCCTTAGGATACTGGCCAAACTGAAAAGTAGGATTACAGCCATGATAAAGGTTTACCGAAAGACGCAGGTCAAAACCTGCAACATTTTTATATTTTTCACTCACCTGTAAAATAGAATCTATTTTGTGCATTGCAATTTGCGCACTAGGCAGTCAATCAGTTGAACCCAAATTATGACTTGCTCCGCTAAATACCTCCCATTAGATGACAAGTGTATAAAAATCTTAGGAGGCTTGTAAGTCTAGGCTAGACTAGAGATATAAAATTTCCAGAAATTTTGAAGCCATGGGAAAAAAAACTTTTTTTTCCCCTAATTAAAAAAAAATCAGTGTGCAGTAATTTTACAAATTGAAAGTCATTTTGTTACTCTGCAAATTGAAGCTTTGCTCTGAGCAGAAAATAATTTTTTTCCCCTATTTTTTCAGGGTTTTTTCCGGCCTTCCCATATCTAGGCTAGACTATATATTCTCCCATATATGTTAAGATTACATTTGTGAACTCTTTGCACAAATCCCTTTGCCTGATTGTAGACAAGCTATCATAGTTACCTGTATTTGACATAGCTAGCAGAGTATATATATATAGTGCATAGGTATAACATTTTTGGGATAAAAATTAATCCTGACCCTTTTAGAATTGACAAGTCCCCTCATATGAAAATTTTGCATGTTTGCAGCTTCTGATATGACGCAAATCAGTAAAGTTTTTCTGTAGTAGTTTCAAGTCATGGGAAATTCTAGGACACTGGTATAGAAAGACCATTTATAGACAAATTATAGTACAAAAATACCCTACGCACCCTTAGCAACCTGCAGTAATCTTGGATTACTATAGCTTTGACAGGGATATAGGCAAGGTAAAACATATATGGTAGTTTGTTCATAAATATAATATTTTGTTGCAAATAATAATTCACATTGATTAGTAGGATCTTAACTATGCTCAACCAAGTATTCAAATCTGAAAGTGTTAAATGATCACAATCTAGCTCTTAAATGACAATACTGCTTCAACTGCATTCATTCATAAAGTCATGCATTACACCAAAGCAAGTGAGTTAAGCAATTATGTTTTCTTTTCCACATGAACTCCTCATACAAAGCATTCCAGGAGAAAAAAAAATATATTGGAATACAAACAGATAATATTAATACATATTATGAAGCGTAAGCAGGCTTCCAAAGTCTTTATATTCTTACCATCATCTTCATCTGATACCAGCTCATCATCAGAGCAGATGCTGAGAACATTTACCAGCATTTCTGTCACTATAAACAAAACAAAAATTCATGTATATATATATATACGTATATTGCTACTGTGCAAATACTACATTTACTATCCTTAGACTTTTTGTTTATTTATATCTACAAACAGAAATGTTTCCAACTAGAAATAGATTTCAAAGTACACCTCCCAGTTCTGCACTGGCTGCAGAAATATAATACAATCACCAAGCAAACATCTTAAGAGTGTCCCAAATCTCTGAATATGCAAATTCCAACACTTCCCAGCAATGTCAAAAGACTGGACCATCCACATGTTTCCATCATTATAATAGGTGGCCAATAGGAAAAGGATTTTCACAGCTAGTTTAGAGCAATACAAAACTGACAGGTGTACTTTAACATTGCACTTAAAAGTGTTACTAAACCTACAACAGTAAAATCAGTCTTATATGCAGTAAAGCATGCTTGTTATACTAACTGTAGAACCTAAGGTATTCATCTTCTGCGATCTGTAAAATGGCTGTTTGACCCTGTCTTTTCTGATCCTCCCCTTCTTCCACATTCCCACTCCATCTGCTGGTACTACAGAGCCATAGGAGTCACTCCGCAGAAGCTCAGTTTAGTGTGTATTGTTAGTGTTTTTTTTTTCTTTGGGACAATGCATGTGATCAGCACAGGGCCAATTAGCACTGTCCAGACAGATGGTCAGGGGTTATGCAGCCCCATAGGACAGTCAGAGGAGAATGAAAACTCCTCCTACAAGCTTTTACCTGTGCTTGGCTGCACACTGATAGAAGTCACAAAACTGATATATACTGCTGATGAAAAAAAGGTATTTAGCAGTTTATAATTTACTAAAATAATTGCATTTCCATGTTCTGCGTACTGTGGGAGACCAGAGATAGTGAATTCAGGGTTCTGGGTTTAGTAACACTTTAAGGTCATAGTTGCTACTATATCAGGGGCGGACTGACCATTTGGAAACTCCGCCACTGCCCGAGGGCCCGGGGTCAGTGGGGGGCCCCATGAGATGCCCCTGGTACCTTTTTCATAGGCTTTTTTGAGTTTGGGCAAGGACACAGGGGCCCCATGATCCCCTATTGCCCGGGGGCCCCATGAGTTGTCAGTCCACCCCTGTACTATAGTTTTTGTTATCATTAACCATTCTTCCTTTTATTATTGTTACATATCAAACTTGGCACATAATTTTCAGCTGTAAACAGGAAAAGAACAGATAAAATATAGGAGATGGCAGAAAAAAAAAAAAACTATTATGCCACTTTTATGATATTATACACGTTTTTCTACAAACTGAAAAGACTAGCTGATACACGTACAGATTGTCATTTTTTTACTTTTCTACCGGAGCATTTTTAAATTTTTTCGCAAAAACATGTTAAACATTTTGTACGATATTTGCTCAGCTATTTATCAAATGCATATTTTTTTTTTTGTGAAAACAAATGCAAATTTTAAGAAAAAATACAGCACAGTGAATGTTTGTGCAAACAACTTATTATAGCCAATTTTTGGTAAGGTAAAAAGATGGGGTTACGTTGAGTAAATAGATATTGAGCATGTCAAGCCTTAAAAATTGTGTACGCGTGGGAAATCATAAAAAACTTTAGTGCCCAAAATGAGTCATTTGCAATGTTTTGAAAGCCTTTCCAGGTTATCAATTTGGAGTTAGCTGTGGCTAGAATTATGGCCCTAGAATGTGCTCGCCCTATGCTGCACATTTGAACTGTGGTGTGTATGGGGGTGACTTAAATTTTTCTTCATTTGTATTTATTTTATATAAATGTATCTTTTGTTTTTTTACACTTTTAAAAATTCTATATTTTACCTTTATTACTATCCCAAAGGGGCCAATAAGTCCCCTCTGTGATAACATTGGGCACGTGACAGGTTCTTTTTGTCACAGGAATGACAGCTGCCCCAGACACCTACTGTTCTAACTGTATGAGCCATTTCTAAAGGGCCCAGGCTGCCTGGAGGAACAAAAGAGCCCAGAAACAACCTTGAGTGGGGTGGCACACTTTTAGAGACCCATAAAAGGGACTGGATCACTTGTATCTGAAAGCCCTTTGCCAGCTGTCAAGGTCGATAACAAGATCATGGCTGTAGCAGTCTTGAGCCTGCTTTACCATGCAGATTACAAGTGTACATTGGTAGACAAGGGGTTAAACAATGGTAAAAATGTGCATAAAAATTGCACTGATTTTCCTGCTCTGTGGGCATAAATGCCCAAATCAATCTTTGCCATGACAAAAAAAAAACATTTCAAACAAATAAAAAAAAGTTTCATCATCTTTTTAGAAGTATTTTATTACTTATAGTCATTTATTAAAGGCTGAAACTTATTTAAGCATAATTGACTCCTAAATAAGGCGACTGTCTAACTGTGAAAGAGAACATCAAGGAACAGGCCATTTCATACCTTTCTCTCCAACAAAAGGTAAGGACCAGGTAAAGACATCCATGAAATTTGGAAGCCAGTATGGATGAGGAGAACAATTAAACTGCCTTATGTTCATGACATTGTTTTCATACTTCAATACTGCAGCTAAAAACAAAGAACACAAAGAGGCATACTTTTGTTATATATGACAAGTATTAATAGGGTAGAATGCAAACATTGCAATATTATAACCTTGCACAGTATTGATTACTCATTTAAAATAACCATGATTAAGGAGAAAAATTGAGAATTAAACAGGCAGCTTAGTAATTCATGCAGTTCCCACACCAAACCCACACAGCCCCCAAAACAACTACTAATATACAAAAAATTAATATGGTAAATATACACCGGTCAGCCATAACATTATGACAACAAGTAAAGTGGATAACATTGATTATTATGTTACAATGGCATCTGAAAGTGGGTGAGATATATTAGGCAGCAAGTGAACATGTTGTCCCTGAAGTTTATGTGTTGAGAGCAGAAAAAATGGTGAAGCATAAGGATATGACGGACTTTGACAAGGACCAAATTGTAATGACTAGATGACTGGGTCAGAGCAACTCTAAAACTGCAGCTATGGTGGGATGGTCCTGGTCTGCAGTGGTCAACCAAAAGTGGTCCAAAGAAGGAAAACTGGTGAACCAGTGAAAGGGTCATGGGCAGCCATGGCTCAATGATGCATGTGGGGAATGAAGGCTGTGGCCTGTGCACTCTGATCCAACAGAAGAGGTACTGTAGCTCAAATTGCTGAAAATGTTAATGCTGGTTCTAATAGAAAGGTGTCAGAACACACAGTGCACTCCAGTTGGTTGCATATGGGGCTGCATAGCTGCAGGCTGGTCATGCTAACCAGTATCCACAGCCAAATGCACCTACAATAGGCACACAAGTATCAGAAATGGACCACAAAGCAATGGAAGAATATAGCCTGGTCTGATGAATTCAAGAATGGTTTGAGGAACAAGACAAAAAGTTTGAGGTGTTGATTTGGATTCCAAATTCAATCAATCACTCTGGGATGTGCTGGAGAAACAAGTATGATCTATCGAGGCCCCACCTCGCAACTTACAGGCCTTAAAGGATCTGCTATGGATGACTTCATGCCATATACCACAGTATACCTTCAGAAGTCTAGTGGAGTCCAAGACTCGATGGGTTTAGTAGGTGTTCATAATGGTATGGCAGATCAGTGTATATCAGTCAACTATATAAAACCACAAGAAGCCATGCTGAGAACCATTCATTGTGTTCCAGTTTCAGCTATATGTACCTGAAGAACCTTCATATAGAAAAATTGTATGTATCCGGTGCAAATCCTAGCTATTCAAATGGTTACTATTGGAACTCATATAGATACATAACCTGCAATGTTATCAACTGATGATGGTATACATTAAAAATAAGAGCCCCTGATTATATGAGGACATTTTTTTTATTCCAGAGTGCAAAAAACACACACGTTAAAACAACAGAAAACAGCAATGCTGAATGATAATAAATACTCATACTGTGTCAGCAATGGTGTACATTGTGTTAAGTTAATATATTTATTAGCAAGCTAATATATTTAGTCCCATTTGACCTATAATGTTTTAATAACTTGAGAGGATGACTATATTAGCTTTTATTGCATTATTCCCTACATACAGTATTATGAAAAGGTTCGCCTCCAACATTTGTTTTTGAAACGATTATATACAGATAGATCTGTATCCCCATATACAGTTAGGTCCATATATATTTGGACACAGGCACCATTGTCATACTTTTGGTTCTGTATGCCACAAGAATAAATTTAAAATGAAACAATCCAAATGAATTTGAAGTGCAGACTTTCAGCTTTAATTCAAGGGGTTGAATATAAATATCAAGAACAAATTTTAAAAACAAACTATTTTTATACACAGTCCCTCCATTTTCAGGGGCTCAAATGTAATTGGACAAATGAATATAATCATAACTAAAATGTCCATTTTTAATATCTTGTTGAGAATCCTTTACTGGCAATGACTGCCTAAAATCTGGAACCCATGGACATTACCAGAGACTGGATTTCCTCCTTTCTGATGCCTTGCCAGGCTCTAACTGCAGCTGTCTTCAGTTGTTCTTGGTTTGTGGGTCTTTCTGCCTTTAGTTTTGTCTTCAGCAAGTGAAATGCATGCTCAATTGGGTTGAGATCAGGTGATTGATTCGGCCATTGTAGAATATTCCACTTTTCCTTCAAAGGCTCCCGGGTTGCTTTTTCAATGTGTTTTGGATCATTGTCCATCTGTACTGTGAAGAGCCGTCCAATCAACTTTGCTGCATTTGGCTGAATCTGGGCTGACAGTATATCTCTAAACACTGCATAATTCATCCAGCTGCTTCTGTCACATCATCAATAAACACCAATGACCCAGTGCCACTGGAAGCCATGCATGCCCATGCCATCACGCTGCCTCCACCATGTTTTACAGATGACATTGCGTGCTTTGAATCATGAGCTGTTCCAAGCCTTGTCCACACTTTTTTTCTTCCCGTCATTCTGATACAGATCAATCTTAGTTTCATCCATCCAAAGAATGCTTTACCAGAACTGGTCTGGCAATTTTAGATGCTTTTGCCAAAGTCTAATCTGGCTTTTCTATTCTTCAGGCTTATGAAAGGTTTGCACCCTGTGGTGAACCTTCTGTATTTGCTCTCGTGAAGTCTTCTCTTGATTGTAGACTTTGACAATGATACGCCCACCTCCTGGAGAGTGTCCTTCACTTGTCTGGATGTTGTGAATGGGTTTTTTCTTTAATAGAAATGATCCTGAGATCATCCACCACTGTTGTCTTCCGTGGACATCCATGCTTTTTTATGTTGCTGAGCTCACCAGTGCATTCTTCTTTCCTCAGAATGTACCAAACTGTTGATTTGGCCACTCCTAATATTGTTGCTATCTCTCTGATGGATTTGTTTCATTTTTGAGGCCTTACAATGGCCTGTTTAACTTGCATGGACAGCTCCTTTGACAGCATGATGTAGGTTCACAGAAATAGATTCCAAATGCCACACTTAGATTCAATTCCAGACCTTTTACCTGCTTAATTGAAGAAGAAATAACGAAGAAGGAGTAGCCCACACCTGACCATGAAACAGCTTTTGATTCAATTGTCCAATTACTTTTGGTCCCTTGAAAAAGGGGGGATGGCTACTCTTAAGAGCTAAGAACCCAAACCTTTCCTCCAATTTGGATGTACATACCCTAAAATTAAACCTGAGAGTGTGTACTTTCAGCCCATATCCATTATATAACTACAGCTTGAATATGTTTTGGTAAATACCTGAAAAATCTAAAACTGTGCCCGTTTCCAAATATACATGGACCTAACTGTGTAGCGGGAGTCAGATACACATCCCTTGATAAATATTGAACAAGTACTCTGAACATTAATCACTATCTGTAAAATCATTGTTGCATCAACACATTGTGCAAATGATCATCAAGTCATCTTCTGTAGCAAAACCTGTGCATAAAGAATTAAGCAAGTTGCAGAGAGTGTGCGAGGAAAAGGAAACAGAAAGTTGCTACAGTTTGTTGTATTGAATGTTAGTTTCTCAACATTCTGCTTGATTCAACAGTTAATAAGATGACAGTTTAAACAAACTGTAAAACCCCGACTGGCCATATTTATTTTGGCTCTAAAAGCAGCAGGTGATCTTGATTTTAGTGTTAAAATATATTGGGGTTAAATATAGCTTTTATTTTTTTAAGGATCTATTTTATAGGGGATTTCCAAGCTCCTATTAGCTGTGGTCTCCTTTCTGTAGCATAATGGAGTGTTCTACTTCATTCAACTAGGATCTTTGATTTACTGTTTACTGCATTAAAAGAAGCCCAGTCATTGCAATGAAATACTTCTTAAACAGAGGATGGTTATATTTCAGTGCAAGACTTCATCAGCAGGTGTTGATGCAGGCATAATTTGGAATTTTCCTTACTCCGTTAATTAAACCGTTAGTTTATGAAGGGCATCTTGGAAATCGTTTAAAAGCCTACATCTTGTAGTACCAGAGCTCTTTGATTTTTAAGTAAATCTGTTAAGAAAATAAAAATGGTGAACTACTTACATGATTTAGAAGCAATTCTAAGAAGACTAGGAGCCCTGGGGTTTTCTAGCCAGGGCGCTCTAATATGCCACTCTAACATAGTCAATAGCTGAATTACAACCCACCATCTCCTACCTAATGCACCATTGAAAGGAATCCAGCAGGCAAAAGCCTAACTGGAAATTAAAGCATACTTTTCACTCATACAGAACACATTTCATCGCTGCAATCCCCCCTACCCTCCACAATCTAAAAAGCTGTGTTTTTTTTTTCTTTTTGTTACACTTCACCTCTCACCTAGGCGAAAACTATGTCACCTCTGCTCCTGAAGCCTCCAAGGATATGCACATCACATATACCAGGAGGCATCAGCTTGAACACAGTGGCTGGTGGGTGGATCTGGCAGCACATCATCAGGGGGCCAGCTGCCTGAACCAGGAATAGACACCGGTTTCTGATGATGCCAAAAAGGAATATGACAGCGTGGGGACTTGGCACAGGATGTTTTTCTGAGGGCAACCCAGCACACAAGGTAACATGAAAAGAAAACAAAATGTACGAGAGAAGTTAAGTTCCTCTCTAAGACTTGCATATTATAGGGGCCCAGGTCTGCTACTCCTGAGGCAGTTAGTAAGTTAGTTTACTGTGTTTATTTTCTAGACTGTTTAAATAGCTGGGATCCAAAATACACAGGGGACTTCCAAGACACAGTCTTCATAAACTTAAGGACCAATTGTGTTGTTTTGGGCATGATATTTCCATATTCTTGACTTTCCAATGTTCATTAATTTCAGCAATCACTTTTATACTACCAATCCATACTAATATTTTTGTAGGAACATTTTTTTTTACAAATGCATAAGTTGGAAAATATGAACCACAAGTGCATTATATGAATTTACAGCGGAACATGAAATATTTAATGTTATATGGACTGTTAATTAAGGAGGGAGAGGCCAATGATCTCTGAAACAAGATAAAAAGGGCAAAAACTGGCCCATGATAGCACTGGGAGCCAATTGCTA